CCCGGGCCCGGCTCCGCGGTGGGCCGCGCCGCGGGCTCCGAGCGCGGCCTGGCCCCGCTGGCCGCCACGGCCACCCTTCTCCGCSCGCGGCAGCGCGCGGAGGCCCCGCGCTCGGGAGCTGCTCTGGAAGAGCCCCGCGTGCAGCTCGGTTCCTCGGCCAGAGCCTCTGGAAAGCCGGGGGACAGGGAATGCCGTGTTACAAGTAACAAAGTCGGGATTCTGAAGGGTGACCCACGCTAATGCTCAGCASTCCTGCCTCAGCCCCGGTGAATGTTTCTATTATCGATAGATTTTGTTTTATTTATTACTTTCAATGATTACTTTCAGTGCTCACACAATGGTATGTTGTGAGCAAAGGAGACAGGAGCCTTGCGGGGCAGAATGTGCTGCCTCTGCCATGAAGTTCTTTATTCGCTGTAGGTGTGTTTCATGTGTTTTCGTAGTGTCCCATACGCTTCTGCAATAATCTTTTCAGCATAGATGTTACCTTGGTACGGAGATGAGGACCTTCGTGGCCACGTACTGGCTGTGGCCTGGGAAAACTCAATCCCATGTGTAGCTCCTCGTTGTGCTCTTTCCTGGAAGCCCYTCGAGGACTTTGTGCCACCACGTGATCAGAAGCAGTTCTGTTTTTCTAGCCTGCCCCCTGCTTTTGTACCCAAACTGCACAAATGTGTGTTTTACCTTGCACCTCTCACGCAGAACTGCTCTGCCAGGTAATGGGTACGTGTCTGACCACCTCATGGGAGCTTTTTGCATCCTGTTAAATAGCCAGTGATTCCTCTCCCTCAGAACCATGCTGTACTTTTTCCACTTGTGGAGACTGAGAGCTTGGTCACAAGTTTATCAGAAGTATTTCTTGGTCATACAGTTGAGGTTTTCTTTTGCTTGCAGGTGGCCTTTTCCTTCACAGTGGTCTAAATGGCCTCATTTGATGTGGAATCCTCTACCAAAGATGCAAAGACTAGTAACAGGGCTGGCTTCCAAAGACACCAGTGTTTGTGTACGATTATATGAAAACATATGAACTTAATACCTAAGACTTTGTATCAAAATGAAATTTGTATGTGCTAAATGTCATGTCTTGGTAAATTGTGGGTTTCAAAGTGATGGCTTAAATATATATATATACACACACACACTTTTTTTTTTTTTTTGGAACAATCTAGAATATGTGGCAATCRTGGCTTGTTACCACTTTTTGCCCCTTAATACTTCAAGCCTATGATGCTTATTTTTTTTCTGCATTAAAAAGTAATTTCTCAGAGAGCAACTAGCATAATCAGAAACAAGAATATTTTAAACTTTTGCTTTAGTTGGGTAATACTGCTTTTTGTTTAATACACTAAAAGTAAATAATCCCACAGTGGGGTTGATCACGCACTGAAAGTGAGCAAAATTGTTTCTGTTAAGACAAATTATTATCATTCTAATTTCTTCAAGAAGGGAAGTGTCTTTAATGGGTCAATATCTTTTCACAGAAGCAAGACCAGTGGAAAAGATGCACTTCTCTTGACTACTAACATCTACTTTAAAAAAAAAAAAAAAAAAAAGGTAAATGGGTAAATTTAAGGACTTGTATTAGATATATACAAGAGAAAATCTAAAAGGAAAATTTTCATAGTAAAGAAAATGGATACTAAGAGTTCCCAAGTTAGATACTGCAAATCCTGTTATTTTGTTGCCATTAGGGAATGACCATTGCATGTTGATTCTAACCAGGGCCAAGTAAAAGGTTTGTGCAATACAGCTTTTGAGATCAAAGAAGCTTTATTCAGGTAAATCTTGATGTCCAGATACTCTAAAAGACATAGCCAGTTCCCAAATACTTAGATAAATTTGCCCTTTTCCCTATATTCATTGAAGTACTTAAATGTTCAGTTAAGAACATGCTTAAAAATCCAGCATGTGTAATTCTCATTTCAATAAGTAGGACTCTGACTTGGGCAGATGTTCAATGTCTTGGTAGTGACTTGTCCAAAATTAATCTGAACACTATGCTATGTGTAGGAATCTTACACAATTCTTTTTACCTAGAAGACACGCTCAAGATGGATACTTAGGAATATTTCTCACAATCAGACCCTGAAATCACTGAATCACTGAGGTTGGAAGGGTCCAGTAAGACTGGAAAGAGCACCTGAAGATCATCTAGTTCCACTCCACTCATTTAGAGTGCTTTGCACAAGGTCAACTCCAGGCAGGTTTTGACTGTCTCCAGAGAAGGAGACTTTACAACCTGTCTGGACAACCTGCTCTCACCCTCACAGTCAAAGATTTTTCTTCAAATTTAAATGGAACTTCCTGTGCTACAATTTGTGGCTGTTGGCTTTTGTCCTGTTGCCAGTCACCACTGAAGATAGCCTGGCCCTGGCCTCTTGACACCTTCTTTAAGGTATTTGTACACATTGGTAAGATCACATCTCAGCCTTCTCTTCTTTATGCTAACCAGGCCAAACTCTCTCAGCCTCTCCTCATAGGACACATGCTCCAATATTGCCTTTGTTGCCTYGTGCTGGACTCCCCCCAGTAGCTGCATGTCTCTCTTGTACTGGGAGTCCAGCAATGGACACAGCTCCCCTGGTTTGGCCTCACCAGGGCTGAGCAGAGAGGAAGGATCCCCTTTCTCAGCCTGCTGGCAACCCTCTTCCTAATGCACCCCGGGTACCATAGGCCTACTTGGCCATAAGGGCAAACTGCTGTTTCTTGGTCACTTTGTCCACCAGGACACCCAGGTCCTTCTCTGCAGGGCTGCTCCCCAAGAGGTCACCCCTAGACTGTCCTAAATTTATATTCACCCATCCTTCCAGATGGGTGGAGATCCCCTCTGAAGAGCAGCCCAGTCCTTGGGCTATTGAGCACTCCTCCCAGTTCTGCATCACCAGCAAATGTGCTGAGCGTGCACTGCATCCCTTCCTCCGGGTCGCTGGTGAATGGTCACATGGATGCCAGCATTTTATGTACTGGAAGAAGTGTTACCTCATATAGCTATATAAATTATGAGCTATATAAACTCAATGCGATCATTTTGTACTTAACATGAAGCTAATAACAATCTGGTAGCATTTGACTGTATCTCCAAGCATGTGTATTTCTCCAGTTGTAGTGACTTAAACAGCTTTTAATCAGTGTAAAGGTGGTTCTGTCGCTAGCTTGCATGTCTGTGTATCAGTCACTGTTAATAAGGCAGTTACTCTGGATGCTTCCTAAAGCAGTCTCAATTCTTTACCTCCATTTACTGCCCTGGTAGTATTACAGGAAGATTAAGCTACTTTATGACATTTTAAAAGTTAACAAAACTTTTAAAAGCTGAAGTTACTTTGGTAGATAGGTCATGAAATTCAATTGCTATAATCATAGAAGAAAAACAGTAACACTGATTTTGGTTAGAAAAGACTAAAAAAAAGTCCTAAATATTTTTTTTTTCTTTCAGATTGAGGTAAGAATTCTGCTGCCTCGTGTCTTTTTAGTATAAACTCATAATAATGAAGGCTAAGGCAGAAGATTAAACATCAGATAAAAGCTTTCAGAAGAACTTTATCATCTACCAGCAGATAAAATGCTGTATTGTGRATATAAATCTGACTTTCTTTTTAATGCATTTTTTTATTGGTCATGTCAATCTAAGTGTCTGTTTAAAAACCAAATGGTAGATGATACTATTAAAAAAAAACTTGAAGTAGATTTGTATTTTGCTTTGGGAAAGACAAGAAGTTTCAATGCATCTGAAACAGTCACATATTGTTTCCAACTCAAATCTCCAGAATCAAAATTGTTCACAAACTGCATGGTGGTATGTACTGTAATCTATGTAGATACATATTTATTTTCTGTGAAATTGGTTCTTGGTTTCTAGATATTTGCTAGGCAGCAAGAATAGAAAGTAAGAGAATTTACAGTAGGGGGCACCATTTTAATCAGGAAAATGGGAAAATAGTGTATTAAAGGCAATACTTGACAATATTTAATGTACTCGACTTAGAGGAGTGTACGAGGATGTTTATTTGATATGGAAAACTTTGCAAGGAAGCCCATGTCTAACCTAGCATGGGTATTATTCCCCAACTGAGTGTCTTTGTATAAATGTGCTGATGTATATGTTTTAACCAATCTTAAGAAAATAAAAGAACAAAAAGAAAACCAGCAACATTTGTTATTTAATGATTAAATSAGGGGGCATAACAGTTTGATAATGATTAATAGTGAAACATTGGTTTTAAACTTTTTTCYAGTAGTTGTAGGTAGCAGGTGTTTCAAATGAAGGTTCAAAACGAATCCAAAGGGGGACTTCTACTAAGCAGTGTGACTAAGAACGCTTTGTGTCTGTTCTCTTTTTTTCTTTTGATGCTGAACATGATGGATTAATCACTCCATTAATATTCCCATGTATCTCCACTCAACCTTCCAGTGCCTCTAGAGTTGTTCACAGGCTGTCACACGTATTGTGGAGTTTAGCTTTCCCTTTGGAATCAGGCACAGGATCAGCTACTGCGGAAGGCAGAGCACTGGCTTTGCTTTCCAGATGTGATCACATCTCACTTGGGTTGAGGTTGTGCAGTGAGATGGATGAAGGAAGCCATTAACATTGACTTATAATGACTTATTCCTAAATCTGCCTCCTACTAAAGCATCTTCAATGTGTGGCATTGTTTGAATATGCACTTCTGTTTGTTCTCTGTCATTTAGCAGATTTCTTCCAGTTTTCTTTKGTGATTAAAGGAAGTCAGAAGTGCTTCTAAAACTTAGACCTTTCATATCAACCAGCTGAAAACAGAAGTAGCTTTAAAAGGTGTCTAATTGCTTAAAAAGTGTCTAATTGCTTAAACATTTTGTTTCTAAACTAATGATATAACAACTTCAACGTCTTTTTGAAATAATTTAACATTCAAACTGAGATGTGTATGTCAAACGTTAGCCTTAAGCAAATCTCAACTGACAAAACTTTAAGAGACAAAGGGAAATAGCATATTATTATTATGGAAATATCAACTCAACCTTAATGGTTTGTGACATGGATATATTAATATAGTTATAATTCACATGAGATTAGAGAAGCTCATCTCTAACTTATTTATATTCAAAATTCAACAAAATGGTTTTCTTCTATTGGCTGAATGATCAGTTGAGAATATGCATTCTTTAACTGGTTGAATTAGAATTCAAGTTCATTAAATGAAAATATTCACTGCAAATCTTTGAGATTCATGTTGTTTGCTCTTTTTTTCTTAGGAAGTCTGACAAATAGAAAATACTACCAAGTGAAGAGAAAATTTACTTCACAAGAACTGAGTGAACTACTTTTAAAAGCAATTAACTGATTAGTGTCAAAACTTTTTATTCTGTTGTAGTAAGATTATTAGCTTAAAACTGGAAAAAATGAAACAATTAAAAAGAAAAAGGAAAAGCAATTTTAGTGTTCAGGAAACGCAAACTCTCCTTAAGGAAATCAGAAAAAGGAAAGAAGTACTGTTTTCCAAGCAACTTAATACAACAATTAATGAGATGAAACGAAAAGCTTGGGAGGAAATAGCAGAATGTGTGAATGCTGTAGGTGAAGGAGAGCAAAGAACAGGGACAGAAGTGAAAAGACGGTACCTTGATTGGAGAGCACTCATGAGGAGAAAACGTCTGAACGCAAACATCAAAGTAGTAGGTGCTGGGTTTCACTTTCCTTCATCTGATTTAGATGACTCTCTCAATGAAGATATGGATGAGAAAATGGGATTTGCAAATGAAAGTAGTTTTGAATGGCAAAATGTCACTGACTTGAGAGAAGCAGGTGGACCTTTAACAGAAATCAAAGTAGAAGAGGAAGAAGAGGATCCGCAGAGTTTTGAAGTAAGTGATTTGGAATTTAGCTGTTTCTGGTTTTCTCTTTGTCTGAATTAAAGACTTTTGAAAACATATATATCCGATGACATTCAAGCCTAACAGCACAGACTGCTGTTATGTGCACAGTCTCAGACGTTAAATTAATACCACACGAGTATGTATTTGCACAGATATTTTCCAATTCTGTGCCATATTTAGGAATTAGTACAGCCAGTAAATGACAATACTGTCATTTACTGCCAGTATTGAAGGAAACAGTGGTTATTGTAATACTCAGGCTGTATGGAGGAATGGAAGAGAGAAATGCACCTTTTTCACAAATAGTCTGCTCTCTGACCACTGCTCAAGAAACGTGTTCATCCTCTCTAATACTGGAAGACTGAGAGGGGATCTCACTGTCTTAAGATTCTCTGAACCCAGACAGTTTTCCTCAGTTAGTTTTTCATTTGTACCATACTGCATGAATTGTTACAGTTGGGCCAGAAAAATGGTGCTAGTCCGTAGGTTGCCTGTGTTATAAATGGAAAAGAACATGTCAATAGAAAATTGGTTTAGCAAACTGGGTTAATGTATTGATTCATGCAATCTGAAAGGAGCATTCAAAGTMAGTCAGGTAATTCAAATACAGAACAAAGTTAAATGTTTCTAGAAATGGAATTCTCATCTTCATGAAGGTTGGGTTAATTTACCTAACTAAATAGCTTACAAATCCATGTGCTTTGATAAATGTTTGGTCACAACAAATCTTTTGTAGTTCACAGAACTGTCATGGAGCTATGTAGAAAAATGAGAACAACACATGCTTTTTTTGCATGCAATGTAGTTTTCTTTCAGCGACTCTGTATAATCTGTACTATCCATCTTTAAACAAAAGATAAAAATATTAGGCCAAAGAAACTGTGTTCTCTCCTATACATTTTTTTACATCTTCAGTGAAGAATAGGGTTTTAGACATTTGGTTGCTGAGTATTAAGTTATAAATTTGGCATATTTCTCTTCCTCTGAAATAGCATAAAACAAGTCTTTCAATCTAGCATAGTTATTCCACAGAATGTAAGAAAATTATTCTGGATTAATTGTTAGAATGATTTAAAGAATAGATACCTTCTATTTTCATTGAGGTTGGTTGTAACAGATTTATTACGATATAGAAACTTGAATATAATGATWGCATATTGCCGCCTTCTTTGCAGTTTCCTATTGAGGAAGAAGAAGAAATTTTGTCATCAGTCTTGCCAGATTCAAAAAAGGAAAATGACCTGCCAGATTTCACTCACATTGAAGAGTTTGGAAATCTAAGCTCTGCTCAAGCCAGGCTAGTCTATGAAGATTCTCACTTGCTTATAAACCTGGAGAAGCAGAAGGTAGAGCTGGAGAAACAGCGACTAGACATTGAAGCGGAAAGGCTTCAGGTGGAAAAGGAGCGCCTGCAAATAGAGAAGGAACGGTTACGGCATGTCGACTTGGAGCATGAGAGACTTCAACTGGAGAAGGAGCGACTTCAGATTGAGCGAGAGAAACTAAGGCTGGCCACTCTGCAGGCTGAAAAACCTGCCCTAGAAAATGACCTTGCTCAAATAGAGAAACCCGTCATGCAGCCTCTGGATCTAGAAACTGAAAAGTTAAAGCTTGAGAAAGAACGACTGCAGTTAGAGAAAGAAAGGTTGCAGTTTTTAAAGTTTGAGTCGGAGAAGCTGCAGATTGAGAAGGAACGCTTGCAAGTGGAAAAAGAACGTCTTAGAATTCAGAGGGAGGGTCACTTGCAGTGAACTCTTTAACTTAAACATAAAATGAGTGTTTTGATGTTTGTAAAATAGAGGTAGTTCTTTTCATAATACTGAAATTGTCCTAGAGGCTTAATGTTCTTCTGTCCAGAATTGAATGTTGATGTTTAACTTTTAAAAATGGAATAGTGCTCAAATAAGTCAGTGTGCCTACATAAATGGAGCTTATGTATGAAGTTGCTTTTCAGTATATTGGAGCAAACTGTTATGTTCACTTGTCTTCAGTATTGTATTGTAGTTTGGTGTCCTCTTCCCACAGATGCACTGATTTTTTTTTCTTTTTTCTATACAATAACAGTAATTCCCTAAAATTAAAAGAACCCCAAAATAAATTGGCATATGTTGTAAGGGCATGATGCTGAAGGTAGCCCACAGAGTAAGCATGTATAATTTAACAAAGCATAGTAATAAAGAGCTATGAGATTGATTCATTATACTTAATTTCCCCCTTTCAAAGTTTTCTGTCTCAGCAATTGAAAGAGCAGTTCAGAAATTATCTAAGAGGTAGAGAAGTAAATTCCCTACAGTGATGTCTACTGTTGTTCCATGATCTGAACTGAATACAAGTGCAAATGATAAGCATATTCCTTCCATTTTCATGATGTATTCTTACCAGACTCCAAAGCTGCACATCAGTAATACCTATTATAAACTGGACTCCTGGATTTATCAGGTCCCTAATAATGCTGCATAGAGTATCTTACATCTGGCTTATCTGTCTAGATATAGCATGGGGACTTAGTAACAAGAAGAGCTGCTGTCAGATCAGTCTCCCTCTCCTGAAGTGAACTGCTCAACCTGGTCTGTTGCTTGAAAGATCAGTAGCTCATGATGGGAGTCTTGGGAGTGAAATCAAAGGCCGAGCTCATGTTAACGAGCACTGAGCTGCCTACTCTTGGTGTTAATTCCGCCTAGACAGGATCAGCTCAAGATCATCTCAATAAGGCGGCATAAAGAAGGTTGAATGACTGATGCCATACAGCATATATTAGGGAGGCAGAAATGACCATTGTTGAAGGGTGTCAGTTATTTTTTGTGATGTATTTAAAATAATAACCAGGAAACTTTCTGTGATTTCATATACATATCTCTTTAAATCCCAACTGAGCCACTCTTTAGGTTTCTCATCTTTCTATGAATGCTAGCTTTTAACTCCATGTAAAATTTAAGACTATCAGAATACTGAATCTGAGTATATGTTGAGTGATTTACATGGATTATTGTGCAAGTAAATATATTTATACCACTACAGGATTACTTTTATTCTGCAAAGAAAATGTTATTTTTTTATTACTGAAACAAGTGTGCTTCTATAGTAGAAATAAATTTGACTACTACAACCAAAAGCTGCTCCTGAGATAATGCTTCTTCAGAGAAAATCAAAGGGCTATATTTGTTGAGGAACCTAGATATTCCACACAAATTGCAGAGCCCAAAGTTGCTATTGCCTATGCTACCTTGTGTAGTAAACTGGAGAGACAAGGCACCTCAAAATAGGATTCAAAATCTTTCTGTTTTAGACCACTGAAGAGAATTCACAATGTTAGCAATGATTGCCTATTGCATTAGAGGTACYGGAATTTGACCAGAAGTGAACACGGATTTCCTTATCCTGAGGTGATCCTCTTTCTAGAAACTTCTGAGTGCCAAGTGATGGGTGAGCAGGAATGACAGGGTCAGTGTAACCTGGGATGAAAGAGGCAGTGCCCCCAAGGACCAAGTGAGAATCACAGAATCATAGTATCATAGAATGTTCAAGGTGACATGGTGACAACCTCCGCAGGCGGCCTTTCTGACTGCAGTACCTTTTTTTGGAGGGGGAGGGCGCACTCCCTCACCCTCCACTGACTGCCCTACCTCCTTCAGGGCCTCATACCTGTTTGCCAGGGGGACCCTGTTGGGTAAGATGGGAGAAGGTTTCACCTTGCCGCCCTGGGCTTTTATCCACACATTCCTCTGCTCTTTACCATCTTCTTGKCTTGGCTTGGGGATAGAATCTGTACCAACCTGTTGCTGAGCCCTCCCTGGTGCCTGCCCCCGTTTCTCCCTCTCTGACCTAGAGATTCTCCTTAACTTTTCCATCTTGTCTTTTAGCTTGGCTACCATGTGGGGCAGGTCCTCCACCTGTTCACACCTCGCGACGGTGCCCTCCCCTAGGCTGTCCATAGRAAGCGTCAGGCTGTGGCACTCGTGYAGGTGGGCAGCTGCGCAGCTGCTCAGTCTGAGTGCCTATCTCCTTCTTAGCGGCTGTTAACGCAGCCCTCTGGCGGGTGATTGCCATCGTGGGTGAGCCGGGGAGGTGGTCRTTGACCGYGCTAASGGCCGYGCTAACGGCCGCGCCACGCCCTGCTGACGCGCTGCGCTCCCGGTCKCTCGCGCTCCCTGGGGGCGGCTCTTGCAGGCGGGGGCTCGGGCCGCCTTACCCTGCTGGCTTCGCCCCCGCTGCGCCTGGGCCCCCTGGGGTTCGGGGTGCCTCGCTCGCCCTGCTCGGGTSCGTGCGCTGCACTCACGGCTTGCGACCGCCAGTTTAGCTCCTCTCGGAAAGGTCTGACCACGCGAGCCTCCACTCCAAAGCCGTCACCTACGAGGATGTGCTAGAAAGGTGGAAAGTGAGGTCAGAGACGGCCTCTGTAGTCCTTGGCATCCAAAATACTTATCTGGGGAGGAGCAGGCGTGGGGCCTGCCTCCTGTTCTGCGAGGTAGTTACGCGGCTAGTTTACACCAGCACCTGTATCCTCATGTTCTCAGTCGAAGAACTTCACCATTAGCATAAAGGCTTGCATCTTACATTGCATCATGAAGTTTTGCTAGAAGACAAAATTTACTGACAACTTGTGAAAAAAAATAGCTGAGGGAAACCTGAAGGACTTTTTTTTCAGAAATTTGAAYACTTCTCCAAATATGAATAGAACAAGAAGCAAGCAATTATTTCTTGTAACAACTATCTGTTTAACCTTATAGGAAAGAGAGAGATCCTTCAGTTATACCTCTTGGAAAATATTAAACCTCTTGGAAAAAAAGTGAAATAAGGACATAAATAATTGAAAATACAGTTMCAACATAAAATTTAGAGCAAAGTATAGAGTTTAATAGAACAATTTTATAGATGCTTTTTTTTTTCCATAACAGAATTGCAGTCACTTTATGGTAATTTAAATTTAAATGTCATTCAAATACTAATCTACAATCTCTTAAACCTTAATTGCTTAATTTACCATTTGGAATCCTGATAGCAAAGTATAAGGACAAGATTTAGACTGTCTAAATGTCACCAAAGTCAGGATATACACACACTATTACTATGTCAAGGAGGCAGAGAGATTTTGGATTCCTGAGTAAAAGAAGGGCCTGTGATTACATGTAAGCTAGGTGACATTGCCAGACTGAGAAGGACTGTAAGACATGGAGGAAACCACATACATATGGAGCAAGGGATGAGATAAAAAGGATGGATGAAACATTTAGTTAGAGGGAAGGTGTATGAAGCCAGTCACAGCAGTTATGACACAGACCAGTAGTATTTTGCCAAGATAAGCAATGAAAACAAACTGCTATAAACATCCCCAGTGACTACTGGGAGCTTTCTTACCAAACTTACTTCTGATGCATTTCTGATACAGTGATATACGTTGATGTCCATATTGATGGCTCTGTGAAGCCTTATGGGTATAAATACACGAAAAAGGTGAGGGGAGAAAGTAAAGACTGAGCTTCAGCAGGAAGATCCCCTGTGACAGGCTCGTATAGTCATTGTGTGCCCGGATGCTTACCCTCACTGCAGGGAGAACACTTATTCAAACCTTAAGAAATATCATTATGTATCCTATTCCTTAAAGGGTTTTCTAGTTTGTAATTATAAGGACAGAAGGCTGAATAATAATTTAAGGCTACCTCACTGAGTTTCTCACTACCTGTTTTTGATGATGTGTCCCATCAATATTTTGCCCACTTAAGGCATTAATCAAGGGGAACAGAAGACATCCAGGTGTTTTCAGAGATASACATGCAAAAGTATACTAAAAACAATCAGAGAAGCTCACAGGGAAAGCCTGTAAACCTGACCACTGGACAGCTAGCAATGAGCAGCAGCCACACGCCARGACACACCTGAGAAAGCACAATATGATTCAACATGGATCTATTTCCTTGAGTGTAAGGGGTCAAGTGTTTTTTCCCTCTGAGCCACTTTGAGCAACTYTCAGCATGCACAAGGTCATTCTGCAAGCAGCATATACACAAAGTACACAATATTTATTATCTCATGCAAACAATAGTTAGAATTTGAAAGGCTGTCAGACTAAGCATCACTTTTGATAGGACATCCAAAGAGTCTTTGCTAACCAGGCAGGCATCAGTCAGAAGAAGAGGGGTTTGCCTTCAGGGCTACCTGGAATGGCTCATTGATGTTCTCGAGTTGCAATCTTCTGAATCCTTGTTCTTCTTCTTTAGGATCTTTTTTTAACCTGTCCATGTTATTTTTTTTCCCCATAAACCCTCAAACTGCCACTGACACCCTTCCCCTACCTCTGTCTGTGGTTTTGCCTTTCTTGTTTCATTTGACTTTTCTCTACAAACTTTCAACTTTTTCTCAACTTGTAAATTTTCTCATGAGTCTGACCCAAGGTTAGACAGCTGGGCTGTTACCAGTGCTGGGCCTGGTTTACAGCTGGACACTTCAGGTGGAGAGGCTACACATTGACCGGGACAGTTCATGGGACCTGTCCAGTCTCACTAGGCATAGACCAGAAAGCCTCAGATACGGGTAGCATTCAACAGACTAACCTTGACAGCACGCAGCAGTTCGCCAACACTTGTAGAGGACCTGTGTGTCTCCATAAAGATGTCCTATTGGGCACCCTTTCAAAATCTAAATGAACTATGTTCACTTTTTTGGTCATGTTCATATTTTGCTACTCCTCCTCCAAAAGAGGAATTTTAAAATCTATCAGATAAAATCTGCCTCTGCAGGTAGGAACACAGAGTGACAACTAACATTTCTTTGTCTTTTCATGTAACTTTTCAGGCTTATTTGCCTCAAACAAGCATTATCAACATCACCTCCCTTTCCAATTCACATTCCCCAGAAGTGTCCCTCAGAAAGTCAGAGCACTCCAAGGAGATGTTATCAGATCCAGAGTTGATATTTTACAAATACAAAAATACCCTTGAAAATCCTACTTGATGTCTATCAGGAGCTTGACAGTGTTATGGGTAGGAGAAGAGGGAGGAGGAAATATTCTGATTCTTCTCTATTGTTGTTGAAAGCAATAGTGAGTTTAAGGCAAAGAGTGTCAGATAATTGCCACCGTATGCAATGTCTTTCATTACTCCCCCCTCCCCTAGTTTGAAGGTAATAACCTTGAAACCTGGAATAAATGACAAAATCTAGACTTTTAACACAAGTGACTACTTAGGGCTATGAGGATGATCAGGGACCTGAAACATCTGCCCTATGAGCAAAGGYTGAGAGAGCTGGGCCTGTTCAGCCTGGAGAAGGGATGGCTGAGGGGGAACCTCAAGGGATGCAGTGAGGAGGATGAGGCTGGCCTCTTTTCAGTGGTGGCCAGCRACAGGACTAGAGGAAACGGCCACAAACTGAAGCACCAAAAGTTCCACAGGAACTTAAGGATAAATTTCTTGACAGAGAGGRTGACAGAGCCCTGGAACAGGCTGCCCAGAGAGGTTGTGGAATCTCCTTCTCTGGAGATCTTTAAAACCCGCTTGGACGCAGCCCTGTGCCACATGCTCTAGKTGACCCTKCATGTGCACGGGGGTTGGACTAGATGACCTCTGAGGTCCCTTTCAACYTTAAGCATTCTATGATTCTATGACTGCTTAAGGCCCGGAAGCAAGTTCTCATTTCTCAGGCTGCTATTTCTCTTGTCTTAAGACAAGGAACCTACATTTTCCTTCTTACAGGAATCAGTAATACTTCGGATGCCTCCTGTCCCTATTAGCACTATTCAGAATATTTCAGAATATTTCAGAATATTTAAGGTTGGAAGGGACCTCTACAGATCATCTAGTCCAACCTTCCTGCTCAAGCAGGCACACCTASAGCATGTGGCACAGGGTGGCATCCAGGTGGGTTTTGAAGACCTCCAGAGTAGGAGACTCCACAACCTCCCTGGGCAGCCTGTTCCACTGCTCTGTTACCCTAACAGTAAAGAAGTTGCTCCTCACCTGGAGACGGAACTTCTTATGCTTCAGTTTGTGGCCATTACCCCTCGTCCTATCGCTGGCCACCAGTGAGAACAGCCT